ACGGAGTTTAGGTGGGGGGATGGATGGTTTAAGTTGGTGTGTTTGGAGCCGCAGAGGTATTTGACTAGTGATGTGTGGTATTGTTTGGGGGGAAGAATGTGGGGGAGATTGGGGAGTGGAGGAAGAGGAGGGATGAGAGGAGGAGGATGGACAGGAGGAAGGTGGAGGAGTATAGGAGGAGTTTGTTGTGGGATGATGAGGATGATGATGAGGATGATGATGAGGACGATGATGATGAGTATAGAGCTCCCGTTCGCGACCTGGATAACAGCGATGATGAGTGGGATTGGGATGCTGCTATCGCCTGCTCAACAGACCCAAAGCTACATTGGAGGATTTGAACCCGGTATCGGTGGTCTGATGTGGCAACGCAATGTCAACTTTGGTTTTAGAGGGTCATAGACATTGGAGTATCGTTGCAGTGTAATTTCGTGATAGCTAGATTATTTTATTGAGTATCAATCATCCCTGGTGTATAATTTCTGGAACGGATATCTGAAGAGTGGATACACATCCAGTGTAAGCACAGAAGTTGGATGACAACCAGAATTGCCCCCGGACAGCCTCTTAGTATGTCACACTGACACTGCGTATGCTTTGTAGATGATAAATGGTTACACTGCAGAAATATAGACATACCATGGACAATGTGCCTGAGATGTAGATACGATGGCCAAGGGAACATGGCACAGCCATTGCAAATGAAGACGTCTAACTAGAACAATATGCGATGGCTTCACAGGTACGGATAGTAATATCCAATGGAGTGTTCCTCCGAAGAAAAGTCTCAAAAGTCAGTCTTTAACATGTTGATCATAAAGATTCCCCAACAGTGAATACGAGATCCGGTGGATCCTGACCGTTTAGCTTGCTGGTTACGATCGGTACAGCATTAAAATAGGCACATCCCTTTTTTTGAAGCCTGATACCGCCCAACCTGTCATTGTTAGGTGGGTAGTAACGAACAAAGGACATCTTCTTGTCATACGTACTGAGAATATCCCAAACATCCGACATCACGTGCAACCATCTAACCCTCACTGCAACTACATAACCGGAACATCCCAAAAGCCACAAGGTCCCAATGAACAAGTGAAAGAAAGACTCCTACAGATCGTATCAATCAAAGAACAAACCCGTGCCCAAAAACTAACTCTTCATGGTCTGGGTATATACCCCGCAAAATCCCATGGAAGAACTAAACATAAAGCACCCCGAACAAAGCCCACGTCCATTCATAATCTTCAACCTCCACATGATTCTTTAGATTGCACCCTCATTGTTAATGCCCACTACACCATGGAACCCTCAACCAAGATCTCCCCTTCCCCATCACCATCCTTCCACATCAACACCATCCTCGAATGCGACCTGCATTCCATCCCCCAAACCTCCACTGACGTCCGTATCCTCTGGAGCACCATCTGCACCCAATACTTCCCCTCTCCCAGATTCATCCAAAGCATAGAAAAGCAAGTCACAGTGGACACCGTGCTGTCCCACGAGGGAAGCTTCTTCGAATGCCTCGTGGTTCGCTCATGCAATGCTGAAGTCCCCGATGATTCCAAGGACATTCCAATTTTTGTCATTGTGTATAAAGATGCCAGCCAAGATACCCAGGTCGGATGGACGCAGGCGACGACCCAGATGCTCGAGTACTGTCGAGAGAGTCTATCGGGGGATAAGAGGGTCTATGGCGCGGTGGCGATTGGTACGAAAGTGAGGCTTTTTTGTTGTTCTTATCCTGTAATCAACCCGTCTATCGAGGATGATTTTGAGTTGAAGTTGGAAGATGATGCTGATAGAAGGGGCCTGGAGGAGGTTTTGAAGGTTATTAGGAGGCGTGGGAGGAAGTGGGCGGTTAGTATGCATAGGTGATGGGAAATTGGGTTTTTTTTTGAGGTAGTTTGTGTGGAAGAGGTTGATATTCTGTGCATCTTGGCTGTGGATTGACTATAACTAAAGTTTGGTCAATATTTCGTTGTATTTTCGAGCCCGTTCAGTTCGAAACCTGTATATCACACCACTGATAAACTGTTCTAAGCAGAGCTCCCAGAATTTGTCGTGCAAGGATTATGATCTTAGAGAACCTCGTAACAGAGGCTTGTGTATAAATCACCAATCGTCGAATCAACTTTCCCGTTCCAAAGCTTTCACAGGGAGTAATATAGAATGCATCTCTGTACCCTGAAACAGTACCATGTACGTCGACATGGGAGAGACTCGGAAAACAGTGCTGTTCAAATACATAAATGATAACGATAGTAGTAGCATTCTAATATACGGGACAGTCCTAGTGAAGCGATCCAGAATTTATAGCAACACAGCTCTGTAAAATACCTATATCTCCATGTGGGCCACATGCTTTGCTCTCGAACTATTCTGACATCTCTGAAACGGAGACTTTCTTTACTCCCCGATTTGCTTCGCCATAATCACGTGACCAAATTAGGTTGATGTTCACTAATCCTCTGGCTCCCTTCGTCATCTAAACCCAACTCCCCTCGTCACCCCATCCAGAATCAAGCTCATCACAATATCCCGACCATCGCATTCTCATAACTCTTCTTAAAATGGCACCAAACCCCGCTTCGGCCTTCTCCCGGCTCATCGCCTTACTCAGTGCACTACGCGCGGTGACCCCGCATTCCACGGAGTCGCCTGTCAGCATTCTCTGGACTAACATTTGCATCGTCTTCTTCCCTCTGGCGTCGGGATTCAAATTCTACAACAAGCAAACAGTTCGGCACCCGAATCAAGAGGTTGACTGCGTCATACTCCAGGTTTCTGCAGTGACCTCGTCTTTTACGGACCCGCAAGAGAAGGTGATTCGGATTATGCAATGCAAGCGGCCGAGCAAAGATACTCCGGAATGGGAGTCTGCAAGGGCTCAACTGGCGCAGTATTGTGAGGGGAATGCGAATCGAACAAGTCGCATCTTCGGAGCTACGGCAATCGGCACCAAGGTTAGGTTCTGGAGATATGATCATCTGATACTCGCGCCTTTGATTCCGGAGGTTGATACTTGTGATTTTGTTGATGGGAACTCTGGATATCAAGCGGAGCGGTGTTTGGAGTATATTCGCGGTACTGGCTGGGATTGGGCGCAGTCAGGTGTGAGGCTACCTTCTGGAGGTGAGGGGGGTTCGGACTAAGTCTGCTTGGCGGGGTATTTCTTCTTTTTTATCATGACTTCTTGAAGGTATAAAGCAAGTCACTCGACTTCGCGCAATCAGCCATACTGTCAGCTTTTGCGAGTATTTTGATGTCGGGGTGGACTGTTGTTTCACCTCCAAGACTTTTGGAGTAGGAAGGTATAAATCACAGATGTCAGGCTTTATCCCAGACCGAGTTTAGGATTAACCGATTAACCGATCGAAGATTATGTCAATAGTAGTGATCTGATGACGCCTCTTAATGTGGTTCTGTTATTCGGTTGAAGACAATGGACGGCATTTATCTCACACGCCTTAAAAGGATCCACTCATTGTAGGATTACATGCAAGCTACGGTAATATTCCCAGCCATGATTAAAAGAAGATAAAACCTAAACCATCAGGGCCACCTCTCAAAAATGTCCATCATCGTTAAACACAACATTGAAATCAACCAATAACTCAACCATGGCACCTTCCATCAATCCCCTCTATACCAAACCCCCAACCGGCACTTCCCAAGTTACCATCGCAAAATCCCTTTTACACCCATCCAGTCCGCTTTATACTCCCCCGTATAAAAAATTCCTCCTTCCATCCTATTCATTATAGACAACAGAGTATCACATAGCCCAAAACATCCTATCCCATGCCCCCCAAGGCCAAACCCTACCTCCCTCCCCTCCTCACCACCACCTGCTGGGACCTCCACTGGGACGTCAAACTCCTGAACATGCTAGACCTCATGCGCGAAGATCCCACGAAAGACGACGTCGTCGATCTCTGGCGAGTGATATGTACATCCATACTTTCCCACGACAAAAACAGTCCACTATCACTCCTCAACACAGAGAATTTTCCATACCCTGAGGGAGAGCCTCCCTATAGTATAGTCCAAGTCGTACTCAACGAATGTGCGGCAGGGAAGAAGAAAATCCATCTACAAACTCCCATCTTTCTGGTTCTGTGTATGGGAATGAATGACCCTGAGAAGCCGGCGTGGGAGTACGCGAAGGGGAAGTTGAGGGCATATTGCAAAACGAGAATCGTGAAGAGTGAGAGGGGTGGTGTCTCGCGTGTCTATGCGGTTACGGGGATTGGAATGGTTGCTAAACTTTGGGAGTGGGATGTTGATAAGGGGCTTCTTGTATCTTTGTATAGGATTGTCACGTTTCCTGCGAGCTTGCAGAGGAATGAGGAACGGAGGACGTTCTTTTTAGGGAATGGTTACGATCTAGGTTCGGCGAAGTTGTTCTTGATTATTGTGAAGGGCTTGGTGTTGGATCCTGGGAATTTTAAGGGTGAGGAGGAGGAGAAGAAGAAGAGGAAGTGAAGGTGCTGGGTTTGGTTATGTGGAATCAGCCACTGGGGTGTTTTCATTTTGATGTTGTTAGCTATGTTTTGTGTGTTGACATATATGGACAAAATCGTAGCCGTTGCATAGCCTCCCTTAGGGAAAATCCACCACACATCGAGGAAGACCATGTTCGAATGGGGTGCTAGTAGCTCATTCTGAGGCTCGCGAATCTTTTCCCATACCCTGCTCGTAGGTCCTATCATTCAGAGCCTTTTTGGTATAATAGCAGTCCAATGTATAACCCTTGTTCGAACACAGAGACGACATAAAGGCCAATGACTTCACCCTGGAGAAGATCATTTTGATAGCTTGGGCCCACAGGGTCGAATTTTTCGGTGGGAACGAAGGCCCACCAGCACTTTCGCTGGGCAAAATTGATTGTATAATGAACATTACGTCCAATGGTTCCCAGCGGGAAACCGGAGGGGTCATCGAATCTCTTTGTAGTGCATCGTTTACTTCTCGTATTCATGGCTGAAAACTACACAATCCAGTCATTAGTATTCGGCAGGGGGTGGAACGAAAGCAGAAATGTAAGTCTCGGGACTTACCGAGACATCGTTCAATCCAAGGTTATCTCTGAAAAGTTCAATTTGCGTGATGCAGTCGTCAGGATCGAAGGATAGCTCCGGGAACATGGTAGTACCGCTCACTGTGCCCAGATCAAAAGAATGACCGGACTCATAGGTGACCCTGATTCCCACAATTCTTCGTCGGTCCTCTAAGCCTGAGAAACATGATTTGCCAGAGCTTGTGAAACATGCAATTGATAAAAGACTGTTGGTGTCTTCATTTGATTTCCAGAACACCCTTTCGGGACACATCAATGGACGACCTGCGCAGAGATCCAACGGGTCCCAAAGGGACAAATGGTCACTAGCCACCTTTGTGGTCAAGGTGACATAGGGAAGGTCCCAGCAGTCATTAAATGACCATATAAGTTGAGACTAGATATAAATTGTCAGACGGGCTAAAGAGCCAGGCGGAAGAGGTATCGAGATCTCCTTACTAGTTCCTCCAGACGATTATCCTTAAATTTCAGGATCATGTGTTGGCTTCCCTTCGGAGTCCCTCCCAGCGAGCATACTTTGCAGCGCGTGGGAGTCGAAATGGCGATGCGGACCACGCGACCAAGGGGGTACTTTTTACTGAAATACACTCTGCACTTAGACAACCACACCGTTATCCCGGTTATCGTTTCGCCCGGCTCTAGAGTGAAGGTCTCGGTCTCGGAAATCCACTGCCCAACAATACAGGGGCGTGAATCATTATTGTACTCTAGCCATAAGCCTGAGATCTCGTCGGATCGGCGTGGACGGCCGTGGCACCCCCGCGAGAAACACACTAGCTTGACCCCCTTTAAAGAAGCAGTCGTATACCATTGGCAGCCTCTGGAGGAATTTGTTATCAATTGCGATACCTTGAATGAGGGGAGGTCCGCAGGAGATGTCCGACTATCCAGCGGGAGCATTGGCAGATCGCCTCTGGGCAACAGGTTGCCATCCTCCTTTCCACACTGCAAACCAAATGTCTGAAAGGAACCACTGGTGGCCTGAGAGGAGTCAGACCTATAGACATAAACCATTTCTGACGGCATTGAGCTGCTCACCTCGAGGACTGACGTGAAGCCTGAAATACTGTACCCATTCGGCGCTCGGAGAGTCTTTTTCGTATATTGGATATTCTCGGGCTCGGCGAATGGACGTGTGAACGCTGAGATATCGGCCAGCTGGTTGGCCTTGAAAGTAACCTCGTTTTCGAAATTTGTCAGTAGCTAAATGCAAAATGTCAGATTTGAGAGTGCTTCTTATGGGTGGCAGCGATACCGGCGACGTACATGGAGTGAAACAATCCCGTGGCAGTCGGATGCTTGTTCGTATGTCACACTTTGTATCCTCTCTCCGCCAGGCCCGTCAATAAAGAAAGAAGCCTCAGTCATGCCTTATCCACCAAAGTGCAACGGGTCGTTTTGATCATAATAGAATGATAAGCCAACCAGCGGAGCCTCAGGGGTGAACATGTGGGCTACAATCCGTGTTAGATGCGCGATCCTTCGGACGTGGACCCCACCAAAGTCAATATTCAAGAATCGATTGAATTTCTGGTATTCCAAGGGTTGGGGCTCGGGACAGAGCCTCGATGTCTCCGTCGGGAAGGAGGGCGTCCAGATGGGCAGGGGCCTTCCTGACTGGGAATGTCCAGTGCCTGGCAATTTGCCATCATTGATGCCGAACGCAACCATTTTGAATGCCTTTTCACTGTCAGCCAATGGGGTTGGTCAAGTATATGAGCTAAGTGGTGCATACGTCAAAGCTGGCCACGATGCCAATCTGGTCCACAGCCTTCCCCCAAAACATCTCCCCGAATACAACATCTGCTCCATTAGGGTCCGCGCCACCTACCCATCCGGTCCTATTGGTACCAGAGCCACTCTGCAAGACAAGCCGGACCCCAACAAGTCCGCCGGCGCATATGGCCAAGTCAAATGCTACAACACGTTCCAATGCCGAGGGGCTGGCTACAGGTTGCATTGTGTAAGAGGTATAGCCCAGGCAACGGGTTTTCTGGTTCCCAGCAACCGCGTCATCTAGCGTGAACCGGAAGCCAGAGATGAATACACGCGAATTGAAACTGACGGTTGCAAATTCGACCAGGGTAATTGCACCCTTCATCACCGGCACGAGCATGGTCCGGCCAAACATATTTCTGCTTCCCGATTGAAGAAGCCCAAGGGTGTTTGTCGTAAGCTGGGTTGTGACGAACCGGGTTGACAATCGTTGAACAGCATCGCTATCAGATTGAGACGCCAAGGAGTCATCACGGGAGCAAGAATGGCCGCATAAGACAACATCGCTCATGTGTTGCTCGATTAAAATCGCATTAACGCTGACGATCTTCCAAATACGACGCCTGCTTTTCAGTCCGTCATAGGCATGGTCATGACTCAATGCAGCCTTAATAGTGAAGTAAGTATCACGCCAATCCTGCCGGCCATTGGTGTCGGTCGGCAACGCAAAGCCCATTTCGAAGCTTGGGAGGAATCGACTCTTCCAGAAATGCTGTGGGAGCGACGTCGGGTTAGTCGCACAGGCAACAGACCTGGATGCCAGCCGTAGGCATGCCACAGATGAAGAAGGGAGGTAAGTAAGGACTGTAACTAAGACCTCGACAGGAAGGCGGGCGAAGATATCGTCTATCATGGCAAACCTTCGAATAACAAGTGACGGGGCACTGCGATCCTCGGCTGGTCGGACGATACCTTCAAGGCTAGATAGTCGAGAAGGGCTTGCCAAAAGATTGGCGTATCCCCGACTTTTCATCGTTGAGACCGGGTTCCATCTAGGGTCTTGAAACCGAGCCGCTCCCTCAAAGTCATGCCCCGGCTGAAGGAAACCGTCTGGGCTCCATGGTGTACAGTAGAACACATTGTACAAAATTGTCGCAACCCGGGAAATATTAGAAGCGGCCTCGGGGATTCGCTGCAGCAAGATATCCCAGCAGGCCGCATGAAAAGGGAATGTCCAGCAGCCAGTATCCGGATCGAAGAATCGGCCATATGGCGGAAGCCCTCGACAAGGGCTGAGAAGGTCATCGCCCTCGAGGGGGACAAAGATCTCGTCCTGGTAGTTGGTGTAACCGACACCGCGAAGCCAGGCAGGGGCCTCAGTTCCCTCGCGGCGGACTGAACGATATATGTCACCCGTCAGGAATCATGCAGAAGCGCCAGGGTTGATGAGGGAACGAACCTATGCACAGGGCTTTGTGCCACTCCCCACCGTATACCTGCTCAGGTGCCCAATGAGCCGGAGAGATAACGACACCGCAGATAGTGCAGTGCAGCATTGCAGATACGGTGGCCGGATACTCGTGGAGCTCGTTTGCAGGTGAAATGGGGACTGTTGCGGCACCGCAACAAATCGACGCGGTCGACGCGGGTCAGTAAAGAATGAATCAGACAGACAGACAGGTAGACAGAGAGACAAAGAGACAGACAGACACACAAGGATGCAGGTATACAAGACACGTCAGGGAAGCTCGTCCTGTCATGTGGGCTGGTGGGGTCGTAAGGGGTCCGAGCGCCCCGGGCTCGTGACTCTTCTTTCCTGAGGACAACTTTGACACAGCAGGATCTTCTATATCTGGGGACAGTGAGGACAATTGTGGTGGTGACAGAAATAAGACGTTCACATAACTAATTTATTTCATCACCATTGATACCAGACTCAATACTGGCCCGAGCTTCCCCTGGATGAATTGTATGACCGGGGGCAATATACTCCACTGTCTGGAAGTTATACGGGGCGATTCGAGAGGGGTTTTTCGAGATATACTTGACCATATGTCGAACCTCCCATTGCTAGGGATGAACAGTTAAAGCTGCAATCAACTCCATGGAGTGTACTGCTTGGTTCCCCCAGGATAGGGTGATTGATCTCCGCGATCGCCGCGATCTCCGCAATCCCACCCCGCCCTATAAATAGTACCTGCCCAATTGACCAATCATCGCCAAGGCACGCGTACGACGTCTGCTGACCCAATAACCTTAATTTCTCTCTTTCCCTCGTGACTCACTCTCACCATCCAACCTCCCAGTTACAACCACAACCAGACAATCAACCTCAAAATGACAGTCTCTCTCCCAACAGTCCTCATAACCGGCTGCAGCCCAGGCGGTATTGGCTCCGCCCTCGCCGAGACCTTCCACGCGCGAAACCACCATGTCATCGCAACCGCCCGCTCCATCTCCAAACTCTCCCACCTGTCTCACCACCCCAACATGACTCTCCTTCAGTTGGACGTCACCAGCCCCGCTGATATCTCTGCAGCCGTTGAAGCAGTGACATCCCTCACAGGCAGAATGTTAAACTACCTAATCAATAACTCGGGTGTACCCCTCACCCTCCCCGCACTGGACACCCCACTCCAGAAAGCAAAGGATCTTTTCGATGTGAATTTCTGGGGCGTGGTGGCTATGACGCAATCCTTTTCTCCGTTACTTATCAAGGCCAAGGGAACGATCGTGAATATTTGTTCGTTGGGTGGGGTTATGGCTGTGCCGTGGAATGGTATGCCTCCTTTCCCTTCCCCACACATTCCTTCTGGTCTTTGATGGCGATAATGCACATACGCTAATTCAGAACACTTGGGAACATATATGCAGCATTCTACGCCTCTTCGAAAGCAGCAATAAAATCCTACAGCGAGTCCCTCCGCCAAGAACTCGCCCCATTCGGCGTCAAGGTCGTGACCGTAATGAGCGGCGTCGTGAGTTCGAATCTATGGACTAGAGCACCGGAGCTGGATATGTCGGGCTCGATGTATGAGGGCGCCAAGAAGGAGATTACGGATATGGCCACCGGACAGGTGGTTAAGGATGCCATGCCGCCGTCGGAGTATGCGAGACGAGTCGTGGATGATTTGTTGGGTGGGGCGACTGGGGTGATTTGGAGGGGGAAGATGGCCACTATTACGTGGTTTATGACTTCGTTTGTGCCGGGGTGGATTATGGTGAGTTGTCCGATCAGAACTAGTGATGGGATTGGGTGAGTTTGCTAATTTGACTGCAGGATCGGATGTTGGTTGCTGGGAGCGGGTTGGAGAAGTTGGGTTGAGGGTTGAGATGTGGATTGTGGGTCCTTTGGTGTGATTCTCCACTCTTCGGTTGTGATTTGTGATATTGGGATTCAAGGGACCTGGGTTGAGGAACACAATGTATGATATGGTTTGGATGTGATTATATTTGCGTGAGTCCAAGAAGGTCCGGACAAGTTATCATTAACTCTATCTATGGCTAAAGTTTATCTAACTATAGGCGACGTTTTTTCTCGTGCGGATACCCAGGAATAGCGATTGCAATGGAAGTTTGGAGCATGAAGTCAAAACCAAGTGCTCAAAGAACGAAGGGCTGAGAGACTATATCTAACAGAAAATACCGAAGCACAGAGTAATGGGAAAAAATATGAGTAAGTACATGAACCACCAGCAGTGACTTCACGACGAGTGACACTGCCTCCAGACCTACAACACAGTGTTGTTCTTGGTGCGTCACACCGAGCTATGGCTCAGAGGTAACCTGCTGTTGTTGGCTAACCATATCAGCATTTAATCCCAGAGTCAGGTACCTGATGGCTCTCACCACTGTTCACGTTACCCCCATCAATGCGCATCAGCATCAGCAGAGCCAGAAACATGACCCCTACCACGCACACCATGCACACCTACATCCTCTTCACCCCCCGCACTCGCCTTCTGACGTCTGTTGAGATCCTCACCAGACAAGGATGCACCAGCCTTACCAGACCCCGAGATATTATCTCTGGCATGCACGACATCTCCGATTACATCACCAATATCATTCCGACGCTCGTTGCTATGACCCAATACGCTGCTACCATAACCATCGTCCTGACGTCTGCCGACATGCGCATCAACATCACCGGAACCAGAGACATGACCTCTACCGTGCACACCATGCACAGGTAGGTCGTCGTTGCTATCAAAGATCTCACGTCTTCCGACATGCGCTTTAATATCACCCGATGCAGAGATGCCATCCCGTCCATGCACGCCATGGACGTCTAGGTGTTGGTTGCTATCGGCGCCTGTGAATATATTAGCGAAAGCGATGTTGTGGTAATCAGTGTTTAACATACCAGGTCCACCGGGCGCAGCAAGGGACAGCCCTGCACAAAGGGCGAGGAAGGCAAGAGTGTGAGTCGGCTTCATGTTGATAGTTCGGATAGTTGTGTGGGATCTTAAGGAGGAGCAGTGTATATGACCAGAGAATGAAGAGTTCGATGATCTGCTTGGTGAAGCCGGCCGTATGGCCCCTCTTATATGTGTCTGAGGAAGAGGGCGAGGCAATGTTGCAAGGGCCTCCCCGCCAGGATCTGTGCTCGGTCAACGGTCCGCGTAGTTCAGCATCAAGTGGCTGGCTGATGAGGTCAACGTTTGATTTCCGGAGACCGTTGCAGAGTGGTGATCTACGCCATCCGTCTCAGTTAAGATCCTCGGGGGAAAAGGAAGCACGGATGTGATAGCTTAGACCCGCAAATCCAGTGAAGGCGCTGTTGATGCCATGTCGTGTCACGCCATCTATCGATCGAACAGAGTGCTATGGGAAAGCAAATCCTTTCATGGCGCTTAGGAGAACAGTTGACGATATCCCGCCCGGGGTCTGGATTGTCGATCGATTGTTTAATCAGACGGCAACTGGATGCCTGGTCCCGGTGCCTTGGGCTGGTATTGGAACAGATGCAGGGGTGTCTGTAGATCGCATCGATCAATGGATATATCGGACCGGAGAATATCGTCATCATATCTCACCGTTTTGCTGAGCCACCACTGGTTGATCCACACTTTACGTCAGCTCCCCCCTTGCGTTGACTACTACATACTTAGATCTTATTGAGGTGGACCTTGAGTGCTCTAGTGTTTCAGATGATGGTTAGCGATGACGACCTTAATGTAACGACGGCAGTTGCATCTCTATTATATGGCGATGATAGCGTGAAGATCCCCATGAGTAGCATAGAATACATCAATTTTCTAACTCTGGTCCCTTAAAATAACAAGACACCGTGGACCGACTTCCGGATGGTCGGATGTGGTAAATATATGTTGTAGGAAGGAATAATGTGTCTGTCTTGGGGAAGATACGCCATCCCAAGACTTATAAGTTTCAGGAAGCAGAGCCCGAGGCGCTGTCTCTACCCACTGGACATGGTGTGCTCCATTGAGGCCAAGCGATGTGGCACGATGAAAGGCCACATATGATCGACCGTGCAGGGATGTGATCGACACCCCTTGCATTTATCTGCACATCTATGGACCAATTGGGATGCCATTACAGCTCTTTTTGTGTCATGAGCCTCCCTTCAACCCGTCACCGTACGTTGTTGTCAACGTGTAATGCATGAGGCTACAGTCCCAAATTGCATGAGAGATTGACAGTGGTGTACTTGATGATAATAGAGGGGGTTAAGGGATGACAGTCCAATCATTAGGCTGAATTTTCCTGAGTTGTTAGATTACATATCCTTTTGGGATGAGATTCAAGTTGTGACGGGCCATATGATATGTGGAAGCCCTGCAGGAAAGGGTATCGTTCCTCCAATGATGATAATAGTTTCATTTCGAAGCTATAAACTGAACGATAATTGCCATGGTTTCCAAAAGAGTGAAATCGATTCAAAACACCAAAACATCGCTAACGACTAAATACAAATGACATAGATAATTACAGTAAATATCGAGTCGTCCGATTACCCCGTCCAATCCCCTGCCGCGATAATGTATCCTCCACCCCCAGGTCCTATCTTAAGCAACGTCAAAAGCATTAGCAATTGATTCCCGCAGATGGGAACTTATAGCTACCAAAATACCCGGCATTAGATGTAGGGGCACCGCAGGCACCATCCTCATTGCGTTTAATCGTCACCGTCAGGGCCGTCGGCCTCCTCTTGACGCTCGACCCACTGAATAGCGCGCGCATTGTTGGAGTATGTGTCATCGGATCGCTCGCTTAGTGCATCTGATTAACCATTAGCAAACAGCTCCTGCCTTTGCTCAGGGTTTAACATACCAGAACCAGTAGGCGCAGCGAGAGATAACCATGCACAAACCGCAAGAAAGAGAATACTGTGAACTGGTTTCATGATTGGAGTATTTGTTGATTTTGGAAAGGAATGTGAATCTTGTAGAACGAGGATGTGAACTCAATTGGACTCTCGCTTCCTGGGGGGATGCCCGCTGCTATAAGTTTATGGGAGGAAGGAGTATAGCCTGTGTTAGCGATGAATGATCATTGGAGCAGAATTCTAGTGGCGGCTGGCTCGCTAATTAGATGCACACTCACGTGTCGTTTACCGCGAGTTGATCATACAGGTACGATTACCAAAACACATTGCATCCGATGGAGGGGTTGATCATTCCTGCATCATGTGGGTGGCCTAACTATGTCGAATGACGTTAACGCTCTCGAAGTGGACGAATTGCGGTGGGAAGGAACCTTTTGACAGTGGAAATTTCAAGAAGCAGTGATCGGTCACCAGGTAATCAGCCCTACTGCAACTGCATGGTAATGTGGGAGATGAAGTGGCATCTCTAGATCGCATATGTTGATGGGAGAATTGACACCACAGGTATGCGGATCCGACCACTCACCGCATGGATATGCCGCAGTCAGTTGATTGACATTCCACCTGATGTTTGGCCTTGCATTGCGTTGCATAGGCATGCAATCTATTGGAGTGGAAATATTCACCAGGTAGCCTTTGAGGTAAGAGTTTAAATTGACAGATATATGCGCTACAATACCATGCAGGAAGGCTCTTGGATGGTATTCTGGATGCGATGATCCTATTGAGTAGCCTTTGAATGAATCTCTGAATCTCATACGAATACAGTACTTTAGACGGTAATGTAATTGATTGAGATACTTACTCAAGAGGTATACCCATCATCACAAAGTGACCTACACTACTGGCAGCCAGAAAGAAGACCCAATGAAAACGGCTCTAAATATCTCTAAAGCCCTGTCAAACTCAACCCATAAAGACATTAGACACCTCCAAAGAAGCCAAGAATCAGAGTGATATTGTCCATGGGGCACAAGAGCCAAATACTCTCCATCCTTGTTCCCATTGCCCGCATAATCGTGACGCTCTACTTCACATTGATCGATGAAGAAGCACCGACAGCAATATCATAGTTCCTATCACCTCCATCACTAGTAGTTGGAACAGCACCAACAGAACTATCCTGGGCCTGATTAGTCCCATCATTAAGGACCGGAGCAGCACCAATGGAGACGTCTTGACTTCTATCAACCCCGCCGCCGATGGATGCGTCAGCTCCGACAGAACCGAGAGCTCCTGATTGGCGCTTGTTCCATTGGTCGATTTCAACATGATTCGGGATGTCGTCTCCTCGATTGCCAACAGCACCTAGGGACGTATTAGGCAAGGATTATTGAATGTATGGTTAGGGCGAGGCATACCAGAGCCAGTGGGTGCAGCGAGAGACAGTCCTGCCATGAGGCCCAGCAAGAGGAGACCGTTAACCGCCTTCATCGTGATCGTTGGGAGTTTTGATGGGAAGGGATATCGGTGCGGGTGGATAGAAAACAAGAGCTGTTCGAACTTTGCTTCGTCTGTTGGGAATGACGGTTATGTATCCTTGGATAAAAGGCTGAGGCACTCAGTCCGGATTTGTTCCCTATCCTCAAGTTTGTTGTCGGGGTTTCCCTACATTCACTCCGCGATCGGCAACAGTGTGTGGTCATTCCTGAAGGTCAAAGGTTGCACGGAAATTCCAATTGGATAAGTATATTGGATTTCTTTGCATCTATTGCATTTACAGCTGAACCGAATAAATAATCTGCATTGCATATTGAAACGCTATCTACGCTGTTACATGCCCTACACAATTATAATAATTAATACACTGTATTGAGTGACCCACGGAGATTTTTCAGTCATGTAAGATGTGTCACAGAGATGAGTCGATGCACACTCGACTCCACAAGAATGCAGGGCATCGCCATCAGACCACACCGCATCGTGGACCCCGCATCTATTCCTATTGACATCGTCGGCGGAAAGGCAGATGCCCACGACTGATCGCTCTCGCAGCGGGATGATCGACATTCCTTGGCTTCAGCTGCATGCCCACGGATTCATCCAGCGCGGCATGTCTGCTTTAGTGCTTTCATTTTTCGGGATTTCCGAATCAGGAAATGTCATCGGGCTACTCGGCGTCACGGGATGATAATAGAAGGCGGGCTGCACGAAGTAGTGAATTTGATCCATGGATATCGAACTGTCATTATGGATGTGTGTTCCGAAGTTGATCTAGCGGACGATTGCTAGATGTCTGAACGTGGATTTAGACTTGACCTACAGCTGCCGGTGGCGTTCACGAGAAATATATTGTGTCTGTGGGCAGGAGAAGAAGTGTATCTAAATGGCTTCCTAGGTTGCTGTTGATAGGCAAACTTTTTTACATATCAAATATGTTGTCGACAGGTGAAGCCACAAGTCAAGTCAAGTCAAGTCATATTCTATTAGCCTAATGGAGCCCGCTATATGTGATGCTAGCTATATAGATACTTCTTGTTGAAGTAAGAATATGAAGCCAGAATGCCTGTTAAATCCTATAAATCCTAAATCTTACAATGAAATAACATCAAAACTATATATATAAAAAAAGTCAATGAAACAGTAAAATATAATTAAATAAGTACTTTTAATATGTAACTGATAACTAGTTACCTGTAAGTCTATTCTTTCTTTATTCTCTACTTCTTATTTCTAGTTTTAACCTGTATATTCCTATACTAATATACATATATATTCTAATAGTTTAATTAGAGCATATTTAAAGCCTCTACCCAGCATCTTTAATATTTATTTTTAATATCTGTAAACCTGTATATTTATAATACTAGTCAAAATCCTCCAAGAAGTCAGGATCAGAATCTATTTCCATCTAACTAAACTATTTAAGTAAATTTATTTATAGTATAAATTCAGTAACATAGCAGATTATCTACAGATTTAATATTAGTATATTATAATTAATTATTTTATGTTCTAGATCTGTATATATAATAATCTTATTTTATATAATCTTATATAGATATATATACTGGGAATACTATATTAAGATATATATTAAGATCTATAAATCTTCTCTGCAGCCATATTTATTACCATTATTTTAATCTTATGTAAGAAGTATATTAGTTTCATTTATTTAATATATATTTATTAGTATAATTGTATATTTTTTCCCTGTTACTAAATTTATTAAATCTTAAACTTACTATAAACAGTTCTCTTGATAAAGTAAATTATTTATTATTTTAGTCTTATTCTATATTCTATAACCTGTTTTACTTTAGAATCTGCAATCTTATTTTTCTATATTCTAATATAAGTTAAGATTTAGTAAAGTACTATACAGGCTTACAGTACTTTAAATCTTATATAAATAATTAAAAACAGTAACTGTTTGTATTATTATTTAGCTATTAAAAAATATATAGATTAATTAACTATTTTTAATGATTTAAAAAATTATTTTAATCTCTGTTAACTTCTTTATATATATTATAAAATTAACTCTAATATTTAAGAATTTATTATGTCTTATCAGCCTGAAGACTAACTATTAAGATTTTTATTTTTTCTTAAAAGTTACGGCTGTCTGTATAAATAATAATATTAATTAATTTAATATAATAAATCTCTTTATATTTAATTAGTATAGTTTTATAGACTTGAATATCACACTTGATTTACTATTTTTAAAAAGCTAAAATAAATATATTTTTAGACTTCTATATCTCTACCTATTTTAGAATTAAATAAAATACTATATTTTTTTTCTATCTAGAACTTCAAGTAAACTTATATTCTTTAATTTTATAATTATAGACTTTTTATATATTTATAATCTTTTTGGCTAGATAATCTTAAATTCTATATAGATTTTAATAATTATTTTCTTCATAATTTAAAATATAAGTCACTTTATAAACAGTAAATAAAGTTTAATATTAAATATAATTATTATTATACTCTCAAAAATTTTATTGATTAAGATTATTACTTATTTTAGATCTTAATAAACTCTATCTTTATACAGGCCTACTGCACTGTAAAGGTCTTTTTACTAATTGAATTATATTATATCATAATATTAAATAATATCTGCAGAATAATTACTATATAATATATGTTGGAGTGGCTACTAAGGCGATTCAACCGTGTAGAATTAGATGGATGATGATCTAGCTAGGGGCCTCGTAGGCCATCTATATGGACTAACTAGCGGTGTAGGGAGGAGTGTCACGTGACCCTACGTTGCCTACCGGCGTGGGAGCCCATCAGGGATCCCAACAATATATTTTATACATAAATCAGATTAATACTTTTTATATAAAGTCTATAATACTTTGAAGAGTTTTAAGACTCTTGCTTATCTTGCTTATTATCTTAATTTTATAGATATTAGATAAAAAAATCTTATTAAACTAGATTTCTAGATAGCAGACAAATTTAGACAATTTAATTATTATTATCAACTAGTTACTTCTGAGGACGATTAATATTTTTATTAATAATTAGTTATAGTTTTCTTATTTATTAAGTTCTCTTTATATGTCTGCTGGGGCGGGGGTATTTTATTTAAAATATTAATATTTAAAAAAGATATTTAAGAATTTCTAAAATAAAGTTATTTAAATTTATTTAATATAAATTTAGATACATGCCTCTGAGACTATTTATTAACCTTCTTTAATATATTTCTAAATAATATTTTATTTCTGGTATAATTTCATGAGATAATAATAATATATATATTATTAATTTAATTAAAGATCTTTATTAAATTATAACTGTCCTGCTGTTTGTAAATATGTAATAAGAAAGTATTAAAAAGTAGAAAGAAGATTAATATAATAAGTAAGTGTCAAACCCTAGGATCGCTTCTCCCTGTTCCTGTTAGCTTAGCTCCCGTTCCAATGCGTACCTTGTGAACTGAATCAAAGGTAGTCAGGCTGTTGACTATCTAAAGATGACTTGATCTGAACAAGAGAAGAGAAGTAAGGCCAGATAGTGCCGCGCAGCTATCCGTAAGTAAGTGCGGACGAGTGTTGTCGCTAAGCTCTACCAAAACGTAGGTTACTTAAAGATAATTTGAATTGAGCATGAAGAACAGAACTAGCTAAGTACATGAAAGAGTGTCCTTATATCCTATTCTTTGTATACTATTTCGTATACCATTCAGGGTAGATTAAGGGTCGATCTAATCGCGTTTCTGGATTCTGTATACTATATCATATACTCTCGATAGTAGATCTGATGGTAGATGGTCATATAATACAGCATTGCCTCGGGTGTTACCCCAACCGGGATCTTACTTAATAAGAGTTGCTGGTTGCCCGAGTCCTTCCTGGTCGTTTACCCTTCTGCCTGATGAGTCCGCTTCTGCTAGTAACCTGGCTAGCAGGGGTCTGTAACATCACTCCCCCTCCTTCAAGGTTTCTTATCCTCAAGAAACATAAAGATGCGTGTCCCTCCTGTGTCGGTTGAGTTTTCTCAATTTCTCTTTTTCCTATGATGGTCCATCATGTCTCGTCGTTGCGCTAATCGCGATCGCATCCGTCAGTCCAACAAGATTCGTGATAACGGTTTCGTTACTGAAAATTCCTGCGAACATTGTTTCCTGAGAGGCATTCCTTATATCATGGATTTGAAGAGCCGAAATTGTGCTGCCTGCACTTATCATGGCCGAAAATGTGAAAAATGATTTTACAGTGATAGAAAGTAGAATGATTTAAAACATAATTAATCAGATATGCAAAACAAACTTGCTGAGATCCTTACTAAACAGGCCTGTATTGTTACCAAAGTGGCTCGCTTGTTTAAACAACAGTAGTTTCTAAAAGATCATGGCGAGCGGATGTTGGATCACGACTTGACTATGTTGGAGCAGCTGGATGAGGAGGATCCCCCAAGTGCTGAGGATCTCCGAGAGCTAGAGCGTCTGGCTGATGAACATGACACTGCTCAACTTGCTGCTGCGTCAGACACTCCTAGTCTGACTCAGTTGGTTGGTTCTCCTTCTTTCTGGGCAAACTTCGACCTGTCTGTTGGTGGTACTGCTCCACAAGCTGGTAACAGCCTGTCAAATTCTTGATAGGTTTTCACGTGTTTTCTGAGATATCATATTCTACCTATTTTATTAAGTACTTTGATCTGTTACTAATCTTCTTGTGGTCTAGGATCTTTTTAACTTTATATTCTTTCTCTATATTATTATTAATCTCCATGTTTTCTGTAATTCTAGTGTTCTTTGGTGCAGGTTTTAACAATAAGATATAAAATACTGGATAAATTTTGTTCATCGATTTTGGCAATCTTAACTTGTAGTTAACTAGTCTCTTCTTATTTTCAATGATAAATAGTCCTAGCTTATGATAGTTAAGCTTCTAACTTGATCATTTTATCTTAATATTTCTGTAAAGTAAGAACATTTTCTTTCTTCTTTTAAGATCAGGTTC